TTAAAATCAACATTTTTATTTGTAATAAAGTGTTTGGATACTGTGTACAGTAGTGTAATAGTGTGTCAAATGGGGTTGCGAGATCCGTTTTAATACATTCAGTGCCTAATTAATATTCATGAATAAATTAGTGAACCTGTATAGAAAGGCCACCTGTCTATAAAGGCCAAAATTTCAAAGTCCCTTGGGTGGCCGCTATAGACAGGTTTGACTGTATAAAAAAACATGCGGACAGGGACAAAGGCTGGAAATCAAGTCTAATGCAGCCTTTTTGACCATGGCCAGAAACATCCAGTTGTTCATGTTCATGGTTCAAGCATCTTCAGCTAAGCTTTAAACATTGAAACAAGATAGTACACGTGTAACAAGCATTCAGTTTACCACTGAGAGCATAATTTTATCCCATGTCGTGTCGTCAAACAGTCACTCTAAGCACATGTCGGCACATGTTGAGTTTTGAACTGAATTGTCTATTGGGATGGAGATCATCATCAAGAGACATTTCACACAAACATTTCTGCATGTGCATACCTTGCCAAATGCTTTGGTGTTGAAAATTTGGTGTTGATTTGTACAATTAGTGTCGCATTGCACTTTTACAGGTGCATGTATAGTAACAATCTATCATGCAGGGTCAACATTATAACATAGTTTTCATGTACCCCTCAGTTTACCTATTCCATGCAAGGCAAACATAACATAGTTTTCATGTACCCCTCAGTTTACCTATTCCATGCAAGGCAAACATAACATAGTTTTCATGTACCCCTCAGTTTACCTATTCCATGCAAGGCAAACATAACAGTTTTCATGTACCCCTCAGTTTACCCACTGTGAACACATTAATTATTTGCTGGTTTTAATTTTGCTGTTTTTGCTGATGAGTAAAATTAAATTAAATCCATGTGAACATGAAATTAACAGTAGAAGTCATGTAATGAACTCAAAACCCAGAGAAATAGTGAAATTAAATGCAAGTGAAAATAAATGGCTTTACAATATTCCATGCAAGGCCAACATTATAACATAGTTTGCATGTACCTCTCTGTTTACCTATTCCATGCAAGGCCAACATTATAACATAGTTTGCATGTACCTCTCTGTTTACCTATTCCATGCAAGGCCAACATAACATAGTTTGCATGTACCTCTCTGTTTACCTATTCCATGCAAGGCCAACATTATAACATAGTTTGCATGTACCTCTCTGTTTACCTATTCCATGCAAGGCCAACATAACATAGTTTGCATGTACCTCTCTGTTTACCTATTCCATGCAAGGCCAACATAACATAGTTTGCATGTACCTCTCTGTTTACCTATCCCATGCAAGGCCAACATTATAACATAGTTTGCATGTACCTCTCTGTTTACCTATTCCATGCAAGGCAAACATAACATAGTTTGCATGTACCTCTCTGTTTACCTATTCCATGCAAGGCAAACATACCATAGTTTGCATGTACCTCTCTGTCTACCTATTCCATGCAAGGCAAACATAACATAGTTTGCATGTCCCTCTCTGTTTACCTATTCCATGCAAGGCAAACATACCATAGTTTGCATGTACCTCCCTGTTTACCTATTCCATGCAAGGCAAACATACCATAGTTTGCATGTACCTCTCTGTCTACCTATTCCATGCAAGGCAAACATAGCATAGTTTGCATGTACCTCTCTGTTTACCTATTCCATGCAAGGCAAACATTATAACATAGTTTGCATGTACCTCTCTGTTTACCTATTCCATGCAAGGCAAACATTATAACATAGTTTACATGTACCTTTCAGTTTACTTATTGCATGTGATGTATTAATCGTGCGTCCATTCTCTGCTTCTACAGGTGATGCAGGTATCAGTATACTTGATGAAGGTAAGACTAAAAACTATGAAATTCGTCTCTGAAATGGACTCATCACTGCAAAACATCATTCAAATTAAACTTGTAATTATTCTGAGTAATCCATAAAGTAATCTATCAAACTCCTTTTGAATAATTTGGATACATAATAACCCCAAAACATTCTAAACATTGTAGTCATTTTGGATTGCTTCTCTTTGTAAAGTTTTGAATGTTTTACTGAGGGGATAACAATACCCAAGTAAAACATAGTTGCTGCATTTGCTCTATTAGAAGCACATCTCTATTCGAAGCACATCTCTATTAAAAGCACATCTCTAATTGAAGTGTGTATAAGGCGCATTTTTTGTTCAATAGTGTGGTGGAATCTATAGCTTTCATTTATGGGTTACATTGCTATTGTGTTCTTACTCTCTGTATTTGTGTTGCTTTCCTGTAACATTTTCACTGTGAAAGAGTAAATAAACTGCCTTAACAACACCTAAGCTGCTAACCTAATACCATCATCCGTAATATTGCTTGCCAAAAATGTCAAACCTTAAATAATTTTTCCATCCATCGCTATAGAATTCACATGTCTATACGTTTTAAGTTCACCGCTGAGGGCACAATTTTAGCCCATGTTACTGACAATTACCGTTAGACCTTGTTCATCTGAATTTATTCCAAAAGTAATGATTTTCTGATTTGCGATTATTTTGATCACCATGGATATTAAATTTTAATCAATGGCGATCAGAAAAAATATATCTAGGCTGCTAATTAAGGAAATCGCATCTGAAATATCTAAATTTCTTATGTATTTGTAAAAGAATTAATTCTGGTGACCAGCAGTTTTGTTACTACCATTACTAATTGGTTACTAATTGGTTGCCAATGGACACTGGGGAAAATATTAAACTTTGAGAGCTGATTTGTAAGTTCAGACAATTGATGTGTATAGATGGTTGAGTTGTTTTACTTCTTCTGTCATTCAACAAAAACACATGTACTGAGTAATTTCAGGCAAATTTTTGCAATTTTATTTGAACAGGTAGTACAGAAGAGGACGATGAAGTCTTAGAGGTGTGTGTGATCAATTGAATTCTTAATTTCTTATATTGAATCATGAATGTATGCATTTATTACAGTTGCCTGAAGCACAAAGATTATCAATTCTTGTGCTAGGGCTAACATTTTTTTCAAAATTAATACCGGTAACCCAAGTAGATTACTAGAAATTTGTGATTGATTAAAATTGTCCTACAAAAAATGAGTTGGTTGTTTTCATGTATTCAAAATTGACTGCATTCAATTACCAAACCACTTATGGACTACCCAACAGTATTGTCATGCTATCAACTTTTTAAATTGGTAGCAGTCGCAAGAAAAACAGTGATTTAGGGCTCTGGTTGTTTTGTTTGTAAAATTTAATTGAAATCCCAGTCAATTTTGAGTAACTTGGCCAATAATCAAATCTGAAAGTTATGGTGTTGATGATTTATACTGATCACAGCAAGACACTTAATTGTATTGGAATTAATAGCGATTTATACATCTTCAGAAATACACATAGACCTTAGAAAGAGCTCTGTCTAAAGTCTAGACCTGGATAATGGCTTGAAATACTGTCGGTCATTGTGACACTTCTGGTGCAGTATTGTTGATGGAGTTTTCCAAATCAGGGCTAAAAATGCATTAAATGTATTGATCTGTGAAATACGATTAAATTGAATAAATGTTTGTGTATTCTATCTTCATTTGCATACTATGCTCTCTAAATTGTTATATCTGGCAGGATGACGATGTAGTGGAGGTGGAGGATGACGACGATGACATAGAAGATGATGAAATAGAAGAGATAGTGAAAAAGGAAGAAGTGGTGATAGCAGCTGAACCAAAAAAAACAGAAAATACAGAGATAGTGTCAACAGAAACAAAAGAAAAACCCAAATTAATAAGATTATCAATAGATGCACCACCAAAATCCCCCACGTCACCAACTATTAAACCTGTCATTTCACCAACCTTGAAAACCACTACAGAGCAAGAAGTAAGTTTTACGCAGCAATGTTTTCTACACCAAATTAGTGTACTCAATACCTTGTTGACACATGTATATCAGTGGCTGCAATGTTTTCTTCACCAAATTAGTGTACTCAATACCTTGTTGACACATGTATATCAGTGGCTGCAATGTTTTCTTCACCAAATTAGTGTACTCAATACCTTGTTGACACATGTATATCAGTGGCTGCAATGTTTTCTTCACCAAATTAGTGTACTCAATACCTTGTTGACACATGTATATCAGTGGCTGCAATGTTTTCTTCACCAAATTAGTGTACTCAATACCTTGTTGACACGTGTATATCAGTGGCTGCAATGTTTTCTTCACCAAATTAGTGTACTCAATACCTTGTTGACACATGTATATCAGTGGCTGCAATGTTTTCTACACCAAATTAGTGTACTCAATACCTTGTTGACACGTGTATATCAGTGGCTGCAATGTTTTCTTCACCAAATTCGTGTACTCAATACCTTGTTGACACGTGTATATCAGTGGCTGCAATGTTTTCTACACCAAATTAGTGTACTCAATACCTTGTTGACACGTGTATATCAGTGGCTGCAATGTTTTCTACACCAAATTAGTGTACTCGCTGCCTTGTTGACACATGTATGTTAATCAGTGCACAATTTTGTCTAAAAAACATACTAGTTTTAACTATCATAAATGTACTTCAGTAAAAAAAAAAAAAAAAATATTGTTATTAAGAATAAGGTTCTAATAAAGCAAATACTGTACATGTAGGTGGGAATATGTTATGCTGTGTTTATGGTTTTGAATGAATAATCATCATTGTGTTCTTTACTTTACTTTCACCTTGACCTCTACAGAGAATTGCTATTCGTGCACAAAGATTTGGAGCCCAGTCTGAAGATGCTAGGAAAGCTGCCAGAGCTGCACGGTGAGTACTTAGGTATTCTGGTTAGCAGTGTACATTTCATTGGAATCTTTAAAACTACAAGTCACTGTGTCTTTTGCTAAGTTTCTTCTTTGTAAAAATTGTGGCTATTAATACTATAGTATCACATCTAGGTGTGTAGTGTAGCGTATGTTTTTTACAAAGAGGTGAGATACAATGTTAAGAGATGCAGTGTACTTGTCATTGACTAATTATCATACGCTTGGATATCCATTACCCTATTGATGTTTAAACATAATGCAAAGGTGTATCTTTTTGTTTTAATGAGTCTTAATGATCTTGCATTCTTGTTTCCTAAGATATCAAATAAGAAACAACTGTCCAAGGTATCTGCATGTCATCATTAATTTGGCAAGTTTTCAGTTATTTCATAGTCTTGTATCTTTTCAGATTTGGTACCACATCACCAGTGTCAAAGTCAACTACTACCACCACCTCAGCAATAAAATCAGGGTCAACGATAGTATCAGTAAGTCTGAATTGTCATAGTCATGGATTCTTGAGTATGTGTGTGTGATAGCTGCAATGTAACCCATCTTACAATGTTTGAGAACTCCCACACACCTATAAAAGCAAATGCTTATGCTGTGTACACTTACCTGGTTCTCTCTGTGTTGAGCTTTGCTTCTAGATTTATAATATTACTTTTATATTAACAGGGTGCTGATTTAGACAAAATAAAGAAAAGAGCTGAAAGGTTTGGTGTCAATGTTTCAAAGACAGCAGTTAAAGTAAGCTTTACAGATTTTTTTTTTTATTTTTGTCATTTGAAAAGACGACTAGGACAAGCAACCCATTTACCTCAGGTGGTGTGTGACAAAATATACAGTATACCTATAGTAGTGTATGATGGCAAAACATGTGAAGACAACATAGTTAGGACCCAAATGAGTGAGAGCTGTAGCAGGGATGCAGGTCTTCTGAGTAGGCATATGTAAATGAAAATGTGGTTTAACAATAGGAACTATGTAAGTTCTGTGATGTCTTTTCAATGATTGACTTGATACTATGACCAGTATCCCATAATTCATAGGATTTATTAAAGTCCAGATTTTGTGTTCACTACAGCTCAATGAAGTAGAACAGAAAAGGAAAAGACAAGAAAGATTTGGTGCAGTTCTGTCATCTTCATCAAAACTTTCATCCGGTGTTATAGCAGGTGATATTGAGGTAAGATAACATGTTGTAATTTATACAGACATTGAACACCATAGTATGTGACTGGACTGGACTGGACTGGACTGGACTGGACTGTGGTCAGTGCTAACAGCAGGAATTGATTCAGCTTGACAGTATTAATTTTAGCAGCAGGCAACTTGTTTTGTTTGGTGATTTACTTGGTCAATAATTTGTTCATCAAAGACACAGCCGATATAATGTTAAAAGCAACGATTGTAGCCATTTTCCAAGCCTTTACTGATTTCAGAATCAGTTTCTGCTACAGGCAACATTTTACACTTCAAACCAGGGATTATTCTTTTTTCAAATACGCTGCATCCTTAATAGAAGTCGCACCCATTTTTTTTTGAATAATTGAGAACCAAAAATTCACCATTTCTCATATGTGTAGATGCTCTAATAGAAGCCACATCTCCTCTGTTGCATTGTACCATTTTAATAGAAGCCGCGGCTTCTAATATAGATTTTACAGTATTACTCAGTTTTGTTTTTTATTTATCTATTTATTTTATATAAAAAAAATTCATCAATCCAAAAATCAGCAAATAGCCATAGTGAGTTGATTGATGTAATGTGTAACATCCACAATGTAGTATGCAACACAGCCGAGTAATTAACAACTATTCATTTCATTTTTTTCAGGCCAAAAAACAGAAAAGAGCAGAAAGATTTGGCACAAATAGCTAGAGGACATTTATTTATTATTTTTACACCGTGCAACATGGGATAATCATGTCTAAATTTGAGGGATACACATTCCAACAATATGCTGAGTGTAACAGCTGTAGGCATTCTGGTATTCAACCAAGAATCAACAGAATGTTGGACTTTGTATTGTTTTTAAAGTATCAAACAAATCTGACTATACTGTTTATTTTCTCATATCCATCAATACATTTAATACATTTAACACAATCACTTGTCTTAGTTCTCATTGATTTTGGTGGCTTTGTTGGAGAGTTCAAATTCTCGTCTTGAATTTTCATGTTACCTGTGATGGATTACAATTACATGCATCATGTATTAAGCATGCAAAGCTTTGATAGCTGCTGCTATTTTATTTCTGTCATGTCTACAATTCTAAAATTGATCACATTTAACTTTTTGACTCATGGAAAACTAAGAAATACATTTTTTCATCTTTATCAGATGATTCTCTTACTTTGTATCTCTTCATGTTATTTTTGAATTAGGATTTAATATGCCCTGTTCTATGCATTAGTTATTATCATTTTGATTAACTATTAGACTAGTTCTTGTGTATTTTATATATTTTGCTAAATTAATTTTGTTCACTTCTAAATCAAACTTAATTTTACTTTAAATGATCATTTGCAATCGCGCAATGCTTGTGTATAAACATAAGCAAATGTCTCCTCTGCTTCTATGCCTTGCTATGACACATTCATTGTGGTAGATCAGATCACATGCTTGTCTGACAGTAAAAATTAAGTTTTGCAGTAGTACAGGATCACACAGATCGTGGACAACCAAATATCACTGAAGTGCACAGGGATGTAAATAGATATCTTTTCACATAATCTCAACATGGATTTCAGTGGAAGAGTAAAGTTTTATGAAATCATTCTATTCTATTCTGTAGTCTTAAACTCTTCTCAATCTATGTATTTTCATTCATATTAAAAAAAGGTTTTACATTTCTATGATGTGCTATAGTTTTATGATTTATTTCATTCATGTTTCAAACGTTCGACTCAAATACCCAAATGTTGCAATCCAGCCACATTTATTAATGCCTAGAGGTCAACTAGATGTACATGTGAGTAGAGGTGATTGGACATGCGCAGTAGGGCAATGTGCAGTAAAACAAAATTAGTTGCCACAGTCATAAAAAATGTGAGCTGGCTGGAGCCTTCATCCCTTGTCTATTTCTTACACTAGATACCAGCCGATAACCCCCCCCCCCCACTTCACCTGCTCATAGGGACTTCGTACAGTTGATCATACCGGTAGTTCCTGGGCTCCCTGTGGTCATATCAATCATTCGTTTTTGTGACCAATCTGTATTTACTTCAAGATCAGTTTGTCAAATAAAATTTTCTCATTAAACTAACTTTTGCATAACAGCCTTTGTATTTGTTCATATTTTTTAAAAATTTATCCAACAATCGCCTCAAATCTTGTTTCACGTTTTACCTCTCCTGCAAAATGTATTAGTCGCCCCATCAATAGTTACTCTCTCAATTTTGCCACGCGTGGCGCTGTCCTCTATGAACAACTAAGTGTTTTAATATTGTGAGAATAACGTGTGATAGAGCGACAAGTTGATTTTGCAGGGGAGGTAAATTTGGAAAAAAAAACATTTTGAGTCATGGCCCTGATCAGATCGGTTGTTGGTGGAAAAAAATTGACAAAAAATAATAGCAGATTGAATATAAACTTGACAAAAAATAAGAACCTAACAATCGATTAACATCGTTAAACATAGTGCTATTTGCTTATGGGGAAAACGAATAAAGGCTATCTTTTTTAATACACATTTTTGTTTTTCCCTGCAATATGCTATTCTGACGTATCTTTTCAACTTATCAATTCTTTTCATAGCAAATTATCCGAGAAGATGCTATATTTTTGCTAGTATTTGTTATCTATATTATTTCTACAAATCTTGAATTGCATAATTCAAAAAGAAATGTTTAAAACAAACATTTTTGCAAATGGCTCACTGCAAGATGATACCGACCAAATGAGTAAATAGCGCCCTCACAGTTTTTTTTTAGTGGGTTCATACTTTAATTTATTTAATTATTGCGATGTTAGTTAATTTACTGATCTTTGTGTCGTTTGGGGACACTGCTTGGCGGTTGAGTCTCTTTAAGGGATGAGAACTTTGACGGAGAACAGCGCCCAGCCGCCAGTTCAAATTATCCTTTCAAAATGGCTCTTCGCCCACCCTTTTTGATTTTATGGTTAGTTTTTGAGTCGTTCCATGTTTTGTCAATGACTGAAATTAGAAATATACTGGTCAGATTACGAATTTGCCAAATACAATTTCGCAAAACTCGGCATGGAATCTATGTTGTTGTGTTTCACACATTCACTTAATTTGAATATCTTCAATATTGTATCAAAATACTGTACATACCGTACACTGACGTTTTGATTATCAGTACTACACAGAATAAAATCGAAACTCATTTCGAGTATCCCTGAAAGAATCGTCTTTCGTTATTGCGCCCTCGTCGACGAGCTTTTGTTGTGAATTTAAATACCATCGATGAGGGCGTAATCAAGTCGAAAGTTACTGGTATCACACAAACATTGCGAGATAAGTATTAGCTTCCTATTATACTTCCTTTACGAGGTTATGTTCCGCATATTAGGCTTTTACATCCTTGATTAATCACATTGTATTCATGGAAATAATTATTCTAATAAAAAAACATAACATTTTGAAGAACCCATCCTTTTTTACGTATATATTTGGTTTCATGGGGTTTCTCGAATCGATTCTTTTTTTACTGACGATATACTGTAACCATTAAACGTGTAGTGGTGTCGATGTGTTCCTTAAAGGGCGGCAGTCGTCGCGCCGCGTCCTGTTCGATATGGGACTCATAGCGACGTATACAACGCGTGTAAAATACATAGTTTATTTACTTGAAATTCGAACACGCGCTGCGCGACGACCACCGCCCTTTTACCATTTTAAGACACTTGTACTTTAGTATAACCATGACAACATCATGCACGCAGCATACGTATACCACAATTTCCAGTCGTCCACCGTTACAGGTTAAGACACGACAAGAGAGTTACTTACACGAGTCGACACATATTCGGGATAACTATGGGAGAAAACAAGGACACAATCGACCCGCCATTCCATCCAGATGGCGAACCCAGTTATCTCACCAATTAATAATAATGATGCATTATTCGGTTTATTTTTACACAATTAATATGCAAATCATAAAACGAGTGCTAAAAATACGGGTATACACTGCTGTGTGACAGTCAACAACGAATGATCAGCGCATGACAGTTATATACACAAAACAGTGCGTTTTGGTGTAAATACCCCGATTGTTATGCAAATATTTCATGTTTGTTCGTTTCACCTTCTGGCCTGACACTGCTTCACGACGACGCGTTCGATAGTTTTAAACAAGAGAGAAACTCGCGAATGAATCTGGTGACAAAAGAAACAGAGTTCTGTCGTCAAAATGCAGGATATCAGATGTTTTAACGTGTTTATAGATATCGCGATATTTCTTGGAGTTGGTGAGTACTCTTTCATTCTCATCAAACGAGTTTCTTTAGGGAACATCCTGATGTTGTGCATGCCAAATCTGTCTACGGTATAGACATTCTTAACACATATAGGCGACCTTGCTGTGTCATGTTTGCCACAGTTAGGGTGCTATATAACTATTATAAACTTTTATATATATATATATATATACATATATATATATATATGGGTCATTTTCAACCACTGTTAATCATGAATAGTTTAATAATATCATGTTGCTGGCTAGAATGTTTTCCCTTTTACCGGTGGTCTGCCTTTTGATCCGGGTAGGGTCTACCGTTGACATATACATGTGTTGGACGTATAACTACAATGACAGGGATCAAATTCGCTTCCATGGGTATAACTTTCTTTCCTTCTCGAGAGCTTATTTTGTTCAATATAACGTTATTTATCGTGGTAACGATCTTGTTCAACGACGTGTTATGTGTATATGCATGCTATGTGTCATGGTATACACGGTGCTGAAAGTGTTGTGGGATCTTGTGGTACGGCCATGACAGGGTGGGGTCAATGCACTCACGTCACTGTCTGTTAAACAACTGGCCTGCAAAGAAACATATTTGTGACTCACTTAACATGCTTCTAAAAGTTCACCTGAAGCAAAGTGTGGATGACATAAATAAATTCTTCAGTGTATTTAAGGAAACCAAGCAAGAGCGTGAGAATGATCACCAAGTACACAATAGTCTCTATTGATATGTATTAGGGGCGAGGGGTCACACTATTTTTGCGCCAGTGGGCACTACATTGCCATTGCTTCAGTACCTTAAGGAGGTCACTCTATTTTTGCGCCAGTGGGCACCTTTTACCTTATTTCAAAAACTCGTACCAAACTGTTTTTGCGGACGGCATTCGACCTGAAAAATTTGCATCAATGGGTTCTTTCTAAACATTATTATTGGAATAATCAAACGCATCATTTATCTTATAACAACATGTACATCTTTGCCACAAGTCACAGAGCACAAATATTATGACGAGAATACCAGTGATGAAAACCAATTCTGTACTGCACACAATATGATTGTAGTGGATGTATGTGACCATTGTCATTGTAAGATATATAGTTACGCCTTGCTGTCACGAGAGTTTAAAAGCAAAACTGATGCCACACATTGCCTCCACTAGAATCTCGTTCTACCGCCCCGTTTCTCGTATAACTACAGTATGATGGTGCTAGTTTGTTGTTTGTTGTATTTATCGTTTCGTTGGTATAGTTGTCAAATAAATAAGTCAATCTCAGGCTATTATTCAAGTTTTCTGTGATTCAATAAAACTAAAAAGCTGTACAAAGAATGTTTCCATACCTGTCGAGTCATACAATGTAATTTGTTGATCGCCATTGTGTCAACTACAACCAATAATATATGTATGATAAATATGCTTAACGGTAAGAAAAGATAATAGTGAAGCCACCTTTTAGTTTTTTACTAGACTGTGTAAGAGTCAAAATGTGTTCAAATTATATACTAGTACTTTATTTTTTGGCGGGAAAATGTATTCACCGGATTGTTTACGTTTCGTTTCAGAGGCTATTGTCCTGTTCCCTTTTTTCTACGATGTATTGGAGTTCCTACCAGTGCGTGATACGGGCTTCCGGTGTGACGATACCGACATTCAATACCCATACACAGAGTCAATTATACCAAAGCTTTACGTTCTAGTTGGGGCATATGCTATTGCTATATTTGTGAGTATTTATTGTTTATTAAAACGTTGGATTCAGTAACGATCTACTTAACAACATCTGTCGCATACTCAGGTAGATACATCCGGGTACTCCTGCGTGCTGTTAGTTGTCATGGCCTCGTTAGCGAGGTTCTAAAACAAGGTAAAGTCTGGACATGTTTCGACAGTGTCGCATTTTGTGACAATGTCTTGTGATTGGGCATTGTGTTTGTACCTAAAAGACAGTAATTAATCGTGAACTATTGTCACTCACGTCCATATATAAGCATTTCTGATTTATATTCATGTAAAACAATGTTAATTAGACTAAAATATGAACGTGACCTCCCGGGATGACGTCATATTGTACTTTTCACTCTGCGTATGCGTTATACATTAATTACCAGCACATTATACCATACGTCATCAGTTTGTGTGCTCAAAATATTATTTTACTCTCACCACTACGATGACTGAATAACAAATATTAAGTCTGTTCGGACTGGGTATGTACACAGCGTATACAGTGAAGGGGACTGATATAGTCGACGTTTTTTGGTTTTTTTTGTTTGTTTTTTAACTATGCTCAGGTCAAAATAGTCAATTTATTAAAGTTTTATTACAACTTTGTTTGATGTGTAGAACACTTCGCATTGGCCCCCACATTCCATGAAAAATCTTATCCACTAAAGTTCTTAAATCGAATTCAAAAGCAAAAGTGCACGCTAATATACTTGAGTGATTACAACAATGAAAGTCTAATTTGAGGATTAAACGACTCAGGTTTCAGAGCAGGCTTCAGTTGCTACAATCGCTCAATAATTCAGCATTCCGTTTGTCGCCAAACCAAGGGATTTTATAATATTGTCATGGCGACCGCAACAATCAGTGGGTGGCATTCTGTATATAATACAAACATGGATGCAACTTCATGGCTTCTCTTTTAATCGCCATTAAACACTCACGCGATCTCCGTGTAATTTATGACGTCACCACCTGTTGCCGACTATACGCAAGCACCCACAATAGCTGATCGTAATTATCGTAATTAATATTCATAAATATGATCGCCGTTATGTACATAGTGACGTTCAACACACATCAATATAGATACTTTGTAATTGAGTGAACATTCTGCCAAGTCAATTCACTTTAATACTACGTACGTTAGTTTTAAAGGCATATTTCATAATACTGAATTTCCTTAAATATTCGGTTTGCGGATAAGAGAATTGACTCGTTTCTATGACTAGTTGATATTTACTGCGTTCTGATAAATAATAAAGGCTAACAATATTTTATGTCATCGTTGCAGTATTTGGTAGGAGAGATCCTGTTCTATTGTTGTTACACGAGAAATAAAGACCGGGACACCCCAGCATGCATCCCGTGTGGTTGTTACGTACACCTCATACTCGTCAACATCTGGAGGACGATCGGTTTTCATATATTCGCCGTCAACTTGACTTACATATTCGTGATACTTGGAAAAAAGATGGTTGGTCGTCTCCGTCCCAATTTCCTGGATATTTGTCAAGCTAATACCACCTTGTATGACTGTTCGGAAGGTTGGGTTGATGATAGTGTATGCACGGGTAATGACGACCTGATCGAAGAGGCTAAGTGAGTACTATTTCTATGTATTGTGCGTCTCATAGGTTGGTTGCTCGGAGTTCTAGTAGTCTAGGTTATACGAAAAGGGTAGCTTCAACCGTAGCTTCCCGTCTCACATTATTTATACCTTATCAGCAATAGATATTTTCTGATAGTGGTGCTGATTCTAAAATACATGATATCCAGGCGTTCTAGCCTCGATTTCAGCAAATTATTACAAAACTAAGTGCGATATGTCATGTAGGAGGGAAAACTTTTTCTGGTCAATTTTGAGACGCTGAATTCAAAATTCATAATTTCATTTTCTAAATCAAACATTCCACGTGGTCTAAATTCCATGCTCAGGCATAATAGAGTTTTCGGGCGGATACAATTTATCGGAAATATGGACACTTCAGACTGAAGTACTGCCCGCGCAGAATTGTTTTTTACTTAATCTGTTTAATCTATCAAAACCATTTAAACAAACCGAGTTTAAGTCGACACCACATCACACATTTTTGGTGTTATTCTGATGATGATATTGAAAATATACAGACATAGTTCATGTATTTGTTTCAGGCAAGATACTCCTGTTTAATGAGCTTATTAAAATAAACAAATCTGCATGTATAAGAACAAAGTTGGAGGTGTCAACAAGGCGAGGGCATTTTCCGGAACAAATTTGTTTTGCCAATTTGAAAGCGGGTGTTGATTTTAAGTTGGACATTTTGTGTCGAAGACATAACAAAACAAATGCTATGACATTGATGCGCAAACTGATAATTCTTTTTTCCGTGTAATACACCATGCAAGCTATGTTACAAAATATATGTGTTTTCGTTTATCTTCGTTTTTTCGAAATATGTCAAGGAATTGTAGTAAACATTATGTGATATAATTTTGTGTGATGCAAAAATGTGTTCTTTTGATAAAGTTGTGGAAATGCACGTATATTATGCAAACATTGCTATGCTGAGTGAAAAGATAAAGTATTATTCAAATACTGAATCTTACTGGCATTACTGTACTTATGTACCAACCACGTGTACGTATTATAGTTTATTGTACCAACCACGTGTACGTATTATTGCGTATTATTGTTTACGCTAATACATTACATAAGTACCAGATTTAACGAATTCTGACTAGTTTCATTTATTACTAAATTTACAATTTAAAACATAGAAAAGAGAATTACATGCATTGCCAAATCGTTTCTATGGTATTTCAGCAAAATGATAATTTATTAAGTGAACATCACTGACATTCTGGTTGCAGTCGTCACCAAATCTGACTCTTCAAAATTCTCATCGTCTGAATCGGTACTGTCGTTCTTGTCAAGCATGATGGATTTTAAATTCACCCTCTCTCTTCCTCTATGATTCTTGATTAGTGGGGTCATCAACATGGACAGCGTCATAAAATAAATAAGCAATAAAATTAGAGCGGGTGATATGACGCTTTATATTGATATTCTTCGGAATACTAAGATTTAGAACTATTTTCTTTTTGCTGAATTTATCCAAAAAGATAGTGTTGCGCATCGCATTGACTTCCAGTGTCCATAGAAACCCATAGAAAAACATACACTCCCTAGAACGGTTTGTGTAACAGACCGCTCCCATATTTTCCTTTCGCGTTAACAATGTTTTCAACAACATTAAAAATCGAATGCGCTAAAGGTACCTCCAAGTTAATAACAAAAAAGTTTATCTGGCACATTTGAGGAAACTATTCTATCGAATTTGCACGTCTTCAACTGATTTGTGACGGTTTAGTAATTAACTCTCAATTTACTTTTTTCAGAGAATCTTTCCCATCATACGACGCTTCCATCGTATTCTGTGTTGCAGTATATTTTGTGGTACGTATTAAAATGTGCCATAATTAATAGAGATGTCTTTACTGTTCGAGTTAAATAATTTACTGGTAGTAAACTTACGAGTATGACAGATTTACGGAAATAAGTCGTATTGACACGTAGCGCCAGGGAGTTTTACTCAAAATCGCCGAATACGAGTATTTACAATGTTATATCACGAACTTGGCAAGTTGCAAGTTTTTATAGTCGATTTCATCAGGGTCGGTTTTTGGTGAATGCTACGAATGATACAAACCCCATCCTGGCTGCTTGTGTGGTGTTATGTAGCTTTCTTTGTACAGATAAGCAATGGGCCGATGATCAGATCAGAATACACGACCCGGATGTACACGGCGCACCTGATATGATGATGCGTGTGTAATTACGGGCCACTAGTCGCAATCCCTCATCAATCTTCTCCTTAGACCAGTCCGCAGAATTACTGCTCCACACATGTCTGATCAAAAGAAAGAAAGGAGTTCCTGGTGTGGGTCTTTTAAAAAGTGAAGAGAAAGTTGCGCTCTGACGCACGTTCATTATGGGAGAACTTCCGTCTGCAACTGCCTGATTGTCCAGTAAATATGCCCAGTTAGCATTAATATCAGCTGAAATTTCTGGCATACCATGGTGGAATGTTATGTTATGTTGGCACGTCTCAGGTAGCAGCTTAACTGTTGTCCTGTATTTATTTTTTGAATTTTTTTGTGAATATTTATTGAACAGCATTGTTCAGTCGTTAGTGCAGTGTTTTCAGTGAAACGCGCTATCTTCCCCGGGTGTATTTTAGCATGTGGCGGGTGCAAAGATTTCTAGCCCGGGTATTATGGGGTTTTGTATCTGTTTTTTTTCCGCGCGGAATGTGTGCTGTTTACAAGAATTTCACCGCGACAGTTATTTTGTTTAGCTCTATTGTTGTAATTTTTATTGTGTTCAATGCCCATGTCGATGTGAAAGGAACCTTTCTATAATCTTCATTTACCACAGTCAAAGGTGATGATAATGTTACTATTCTTGACAAAGGCAAGTTCAAGTTCAAGTACCAATTGTTAAATATAACATACATAATACATATAACAAGCCCAGTAAAGGCAGTTTTGAAGTGTAGTATGTTGTCGTGCAATAAAGTCGAACTGTACTGTATTCATCAAAAGACTGGAGGATGCCATATGGGCCTTGGACTTTTACCAAAACCCCGAACATGCCGTTAACCTCTTTCATATCCGTCATTGAACAAGTAATCCTTGTGTGGTGAAGCTAGTTTCAGTGTGGTTTGGGGGTCATTCGAATCGTGTGATATGCCAACATGCTACTCTTTTCTCTCTCTGTAGCTCTACTTGGAAGCGCGCTGGTTGTGGAGAGGAGTCGGGCTGATGAAACCATTTATACAAGCCGCCTGTCTCTTGGGGGCGTGCTTTATGTCCCTGTTGGGGGTATACCAAAATGCTCATTTTCTCAGCGATGCTATCGCTGGTGCTGTTCTGGGCGGCGGGATTGCCGTGATGACGGTAAGTTCCTACATTCTACAATTTTACGTAGCAATGGGATGTTCTATTAATATGGGCGTGTCTGTGCTGAGGGCGAGGATGTGAACTAACTTGAATGTGAGGGGCCGGGACGATCATTTTAAAAACATATTAAAGCCAGATGAATGAATGAGATTAATTATCTAGAATACACACGGCGACTAATAATTTTGTTAAGTCGATATCCTTACATATATATTGCGTGCGTTATTATTTCCGTGTACGCGTTATTATGAATTGCGGGATATATAAACGCCAAAACGAATTTCAACCCCAGGTTATTTTTTGTTCAGGCAATATTCCAACATATTTCCATGTACTAAATTCAGCTGGTAGTCTGGCTTTGTCCCTTATTTTTTCACCAAGCTACTACATATCGTACCAGGGCTTTCGTGGCAAAACGTGCCGATAGAATGGGGAGGGTGAAATGTAGTAAACAGCGCCATTTTGAAATCATTCGGTTTCGTTTTACTCGTTACCAAACATATAGCCACATAACTTACATGAGGCTTATTCTATGAACAACTATATTCGGTATATATTGTAATTTAATCAATAAAACTTGTTTATGTTTTGTTGTAGGTATTTTATTTCACAAGTTTATTCGGCAGTAGCCACAAACGCCGACTGAAACGCGAAGACGAAGTCGAAATGAATAACTACGTAGTGACGAACAGAAATTCGGCATGGGTGGAGCAGAAGATGTGAACATCATCATCATTTATATATACGAATGGTCTTTATAATAAAGAAACTCGCCATTTCCATGACAACTCAAATGTTTTGTAATAATTCGTGTATATATTCGATATACTAGTACTTTGTGATTGAAGGGCTTAACGTATTCCATATTTGTCTGTGTTATCGTCACGTGACAGTCATTGTAACTTTGTGCAAGTATGTTATTCTTATACGTTTATTTTATTATTGTAAGTTTAAGTTCAAATGCGTTCTTCTGGAACGAGAATAGCGAGAATTATTTATATCTCGATATTATAAATAATCACTTCTATGAATGGAATATTGAAAGATTCGTCCCGAGGCGTGTCTCAATGTTTTTGATAAAGGTCACCACGATTGTCGTATACGACACTTTTTTGTTTGTTTTTATCTTGTATATAACTTTTGAGCAACGTGATCTCTGTATTATACAAAGTTTATTCTATTTTATTATTATTTGTTTGCACCTACATATTTGTACTTATTTTATTTAGAAATGTACATATGATAATATTGTTTTTGATGAAGTCGTATAACCGCAGTAAGTAGTGATTGAATGCCTTTGACTCATTTCTCTCTTTGAATGTAATTGCGTATTAGTTACAAACCAAACTCCCCCCCCCCCCCATACACACATACGCGGAGAGAGAAGCATTTTAAATGCTACATTACTCAACATTGACAATTTTGAACATTTTTACACATTTACAGAAGGTACTGATTTGAAACTCCCCACTTTATGATATTAGTATTAGTCGTTTGAATGTTTTTCACCCCATCTCCCCGCTCCGCAAAACGGTTTTACTTCGACCGTGCATGTGTTAACTGGCTTGGTTTGGAACGACATCAGAAACCGTGTCACGATTTACTCTCCTCGTCTTTGGTCTATTCGATTGTTTGGCGGACAAATGAGGTATACTTTATGATATTTTAAGTGTAATATTTTGTGCATTTTATTTCAATCTGTGTAAATTATGTTAATCTCGAAGGTGTTTAAACAGTCTCGCAATGTATCGTATTTCACAACTAATGACCAATTACTGGTAGCGAGCCTATACATATAAGAAATGCAATATGTATTGAAGAAAGGGTTTTGAATAATAAATATCATATTTTAGTTTTAAAATACTTGCGTTATTTTACGTGTCCATTGACTGTACCAGTCGCCATGGTTACACAAATTATTCTAAACATTACTCGTTACCAAATTCTGTTTATTTATAATTATACCTGAGATATTTTGGATATATTTATGAACACGCAAAATCTTCGGATTTGTTCAAATTGCAGTTTCTACCCGAGAACCAAGTATTTCGCTATTTTCGATATCAATTGCAAAATGTTAAAATAACATAATTTAAGAAATTTAGGATATTTGAAAATTGATTAAAAAAAGATTTAGTCTTCCACAAAGTAGTATGTCTAACAAATATTTACATGAATGCACAATCTAAAACCCCGCTATGCAACGTTCTGGTTTAGATACACGCCAAATTTCTGTTCGGAAATGTGTTATGTATAGGTAGTAGATATATTTTTGGAGAATACTTTTAAAACAATTAGTGTGTTTTGTCAACAATTCCGCGAGAAATTCTTAATGAAAAAGTGACTCGTGTCCTCTTCTTAAATTGAATATAACTATACTTGTCCAAAACACTTTTCGGGGTTCTTTCTTGGAACAGTAAAATATGGTAACTGTGCCTTCATTGGTGTTACTTCACCTATATACAAGTTCAAGAAAAATTTATGAGAACAAAGGCGTGTAAAAGTCATAGGAGAAGTCGGGAGAACAAAGGTGTATACACATTTCATTTATGGTATAATTGATAAGATTTGAAAATAGTCGTACATGAAAAACGGCATTTAGTGTATATAAAGTCGTGTAATTAAGCAACAGATGAGATTTAAATATATTTAAATAATGAACCACCTTTACGATTTACTACAAGTACACACATGTAGACGTACTTCACCTTTTGTAGTAACGTACATCCCACAGCATGGCCAGCGGAAAAAGTCACACAATTGAAGAGTTTAATATCAGGATTCCATGTTGCCATCCGTATTATGTATTTGACAGTGAACAGACTCATGATATAGAGAATAATACTGAGAGCGTCAAAGTACTTGTCACGTTACATAATAATATGGGATTCCATAAGGATACTTGTGTATGTCACGTTACATAGTTATATGGGATTCCATACAGGATACTGGTGTGTGTGTCACGTAACATAATTATATGGGATTCCATAAGGATACTTGTGTATGTCACGTTACATAGTTATATGGGATTCCAGACAGGATACTTGTGTGTGTCACGTTACATAATTATATGGGATTCCATACAGAATACTGGTATGTGTTACGTTACATAATTATATGGGATTCCAGAAAGAATGTTTGTGTGTGTTACGTTACATAATTATATGGAACTCCATACAGGATACTTGTGTATGTCACGTTACATAGTTATATGGGATTCCATAAGGATACTTGTGTGTGTCACATTACATAATTATATGGGATTCCATAAGGATACTTGTGTATGTCACGTTACATAATTATATGGGATTCCATACAGAATACTGGTATGTGTTACGTTACATAATTATATGGGATTCCAGAAAGAATGTTTGTGCGTGTCACGTTACATATATATATGGGATTCCATACAGGATAATTGTGTATGTCACGTTATATAATTATATGGGATTCTATAAGGATACTTGTGTATGTCACATTACATAGTTATATGGGATTCCAGACAGAATACTTGTGTGTGTCACGTTACATAATTATATGGGATTCCATACAGGATACTTGTGTATGTCACGTTACATAGTTATATGGGGTTTTAGACAGGATACTTACGTGTGTTACTTTACATAATTATATGGGATTCCATAAGGATACTTGTGTATGTCACGTTACATAGTTATATGGAATTACAGACAGGATACTTGTGTGTGTCACGTTACATAATTATATGGGATTCCATACAGAATACTGATATATGTTACGTTACATAATTATATGGGATTCCAGAAAGAAAGTTTGTGTGTGTCACGTTACATAATTATATGGGATTCCATACAGGATACTTGTGTATGTCACGTAACATAATTATATAGGATTCTATACAGGATACTTGTGTGTGTCACGTTATATAATTATATGGGATTCCAGACAGGATACTTGTGCATGTCACATTACATAGTTATATGAGATTCCAGACAGGATACTTGTGTGTGTCACGTTACATAATTATATGGGATTCCATACAGAACATTTTCGTGTGTCATGTTACATAGTTGCATGGGATTCCATACAGGATACTTGTGTATGTCACGTTACATAATTATATGGGATTCCATACAGAATCCTGGTATGTGTTACGTTACATAATTATATGGGATTCCAGAAAGAATGTTTGTGTGTGTTATGTTACATAATTATATGGGATTCCATACAGGATACTTGTGTATGTCACGTTACATAATTATATGGGATTCTATACAGGATACTTGTGTATGTCACATTACATAGTTATATGGGATTCCAGACAGGATACTTGTGTGTGTCACGTTACATAATTATATGGGATTCCATACAGGATACTAGTGTGTGTCACGTTACATAATTATATGGGATTCTATACAGGGTACTGGTGTGTGTGTCACGTTACATAATTATATGGGATTCCATACAGGATACTGGTGTGTGTGTCACGTTACATAATTATATGGGATTCTATACAGGGTACTGGTGTGTGTGTCACATTACATAATTATATGGGATTCCAGACAGGATACTTGTGTGGGTCACGTTACAAAATTATATGGAATTCCATACAGAATACTTTTGTGTGTCACATTACATAATTATATGGGATTCCATACAGAATACTGGTATGTGTTACGTTACATAATTATATGGGATTCTAGAAAGAATGTTTGTGTGTGTCATGTTACATAATTACATGGGATTCCATGCAGGATACTTGTGCATGTCACTTTACATAATTATATGGGATTCTATACAGGATTCTTGTGTGTGTCACCTTACATAATTATATGAGATCCCAGATAAGATGCTTGTGTATGTCACGTTACATAATTATATGGGATTCCCGACAGGATACTTGTGTGTGTCACGTTACATAATTATATGGGATTCCATACAGAATACTGGTGTGTCACGTTACATAATTATATGGGATTCCAGACAGGATACTTGTATGTATCACGTTACAAAATTATATGGAATTCCATACAGAATACTTTTGTGTGTCACGTTACATAATTATATGGGATTCCCGACAGGATACTTGTGTGTGTGACGATACATAATTCTATGGGATTCCATACAGAATACTGGTGTGTCACGTTACATAATTATATGGGATTCCAGACAGGATACTTGTATGTATCACGTTACAAAATTATATGGAATTCCATACAGAATACTTTTGTGTGTCACGTTACATAATTATATGTGGGATTCCATACAGGATAGTTTCGTGTGTAACGTTAGATAATTATATGGGATTCCAGACAGGACACTGGTATGTGTGTCACGTTACATAATTATATGGGATTCCAGACAGGATACTTGTGTGTGTCACGTTACATAATTATATGGGATTCCAGACAGGATACTTGTGTGTGTCACTTGACATAATTATATGGGATTCCAGACAGGATACTTGTGTGTGTCACGTTACATAATTATATGTGGGATTCCATACAGAATACTAGTGTGTGTCACGTTACATAATTATATGGGATTCCAGACAGGATACTAGTGTGTGTCACTTTACATAATTATATGGGATTCCAGACAGAATATTGGTATGTGTCACGTTACATAATTATATCGGATTCCAGACAGGATACTAGTGTGTGTCACGTTACATAATTATATGTGATTCCATACAGAATACTAGTGTGTGTCACGTTACATAATTATAGAGGATTCCATACAGAATACTTTTGTGTGTCACGTTACATAATTATATGGGATTCCATACAGAATACTTTTGTGTGTCACGTTACATAATTATATGGGATTCCATACAGAATACTACTGTGTGTCACGTTACCTAATTATATGGGATTCCAGACAGGATACTTGTGTGTGTCACTTTACATAATTATATGGGATTCCAGACAGAATATTGGTATGTGTCACGTTACTTAATTATATAGGATTCCAGACAGGATACTTTCGTGTGTCACGTTACATAATTATATGGGATTCCATACAGAATACTTGTGTGTGTCACGTTACATAATTATATAGGATTCCATACAGAATACTAGTGTGTGTCACGTTACATAATTATATAGGATTCCAGACAGGATACTAGTGTGTGTCACGTTACATAATTATATGGGATTCCATACAGAATACTAGTGTGTGTCACGTTACATAATTATATGGGATTCCGTACAGAATACTAGTGTGTGTCACGTTACATAATTATACGTGGGATTCCATACAGGATACTTGTGTGTGTCACTTCACATAATTATATGGGATTCCAGACAGGATACTTGTGTGTGTGACGTTACATAATTATATGGGATTCCATACAGGATAGTTTCGTGTGTCACGTTACATAATTATATAGGATTCCAGACAGGATACTTGTGTGTGTCACTTTACATAATTATATGGGATTCCATACAGAATACTTTTGTGTGTCACGTTACATAATTATATGTGGGATTCCATACAGGATAGTTTCGTGTGTCACGTTACATAATTATATGGGATTCCATACAGAATACGTTTGTGTGTCACGTTACATAATTATATGGGATTCCATATAAGATACTTTTGTGTGTCACGTTACATAATTACATGGAATTCCAGACAGAATACTGGTATGTGTCACATTACATAATTATATGGAGTTCCATACAGAATATTTTTGTGTGTCACGTTACATAATTATATGTGGGATTCCATACAGGATACTTTCGTGTGTCACGTTACATAATTATACGGGATTCCAGACAGAATACTGGTGTGTGTGCCACGTTACATAATTATATGGGATTCCATGCAGGATACTTTCGTGTGTTACGTTACACAATTATATGAGATTCCATACACAATACTTTTGTGTGTCACGTTACATAATTATATGTGGGATTCCATACGTGATACTTTCGTGTGACACATTACATAATTATATGGGGTTCCATACAGAATACTAGTGTGTGTCACGTAACATAATTATATGGGATTGCAGACAGGATACATGTGTATGTCACGTTACATAATTATATGGGATTCGATACAGAACACTGGTATGTGTGTCATGTTACAAAATTGTATAGGATTCCATACAGATTACTGGTGTGTGTGCCACGTTACATAATTATATGTGGGATTCCATACAGGATAGTGGTGTGTGTGTCATGTTACATAATGATATGGGATTCCATATAGAATACTGATGTGTGTGTGTCACGTTACATAATTATATGGGATTTCATACAAATAACTGTTGTGTGTGTGTCACGTTACATAATTATATGGGATTCCATGCAGAATACTGGTGTGTGTGTCACGTTACATAATTATATGGGATTTTAGACAGAATACTGGTACGTGTCACGTTACATAATTATATGGGATTCCAGACAGAATACTGGTATGTGTCACGTTACATAATTATATTGGATTCCAGATTCAGTAAAACGTAATTGCACTTTCCGGTTGATGTTTGAAAAAAAAAAAACGTTTCGATGAAAACTCGTACAGAATAAATGTGTTTATTTATTGGTTTCTAAAAGACTCAATATGTACGAAAATGTATGTTTTAATATTGACGTCGAGACTCCATGATGCGAACTAAATCGAAATATGATTTGTCATAAACTAAAATGATGTTTTTGCAAGACACACAACAGTATTCTTTAAATGAAAAATAAACACTAATACGCATGTGCAATAATGTATTTATACGTGCTAAAAACCAGCGCACATACGTATTAGAGAATGTCATTGTTTTTATCAAACTTATTCAATGTATTCATCAACGTACAACAATACTAAACATGGTATGTTCGTATGCAAATAAAACATTATTAAACATTTAGGCATTTGTGAATTAATGAGATATGATATATATGGTCATATTATAACATGTGACATGACAATAAGCATTCTATTTGCGAAGGTACGTAACCATGGTTACACGAGTGTTCTTTGTATACCTATTTTCCCCGATGCTCACTTTGCATTCAGAGGTGTCACGTAGATGTCGCTAAAGACTTTTCAACACTTTTTGGTTGTGAAGAACTTTGCTGAAATCAACATCGTAGAGTTGGTGTTGGCATGGAAACGTGAAGACTTCACAAAACATTGTCTAAGAGAACCTGCATCTCTGTAAAAAAAAATGTTTGTAAGCTATGATCGTCCATTTACGCATCTGTTCCTGCCTCCTTTTAACATGCAACGTGTCTTTATTGTTTTGATTTTGTTTGAGGATCAGAGCAGTGTAATGCAAATGAGGGCGTGTATTATTGCTACCCGCATTGGGCTTCCGCTGCGATTGAATCCATACACAAGTCAAGGAAGACGCATTGTAGACATTTGGATACGTAAAACCAGAATTGTCCCAACATGGCGGAAGGGAAAGACGTTCCGGTTTTTACCGTGTTTCTAGATATTTTCATATTTCTAATAGTCGGTAAGTCAAAATTGTTGTCTTTCAAGTTGTTTTAACTAGCATTTCGTTTTCTGGCTGCGTATCGCCGTGTACCGCATGGGAACTCATTGTCGCCGCATTAGTGTAGCCGTGACGTTTACCGCGAAAAACTCACCTTTGTGTTTCCGACCTATTCATACGTTCAATCTAAATGTTCGACAAGAGTGAGTTTAGCTGGGACTAGTCCAATAGATTCGCTCGTTAGTTAGTCGGTGTGTTCTTTCGGTTTTCCGCGCCCCGTGCTCAGTGAGCCAACTACTTGGAAGCCCCCGGGATAAGCTCGCCATTGGTCGTCACTGAATCCAACCACGGTTTAAGTAACCGTGATCCAGCCAACTTGAATGACCAATGTATGTGTTAATTAAGTTACATTCTCACCATTTGACCGGAAATACGCGGTGCATATATGTGGTTATTATCTGCATGAGAACGTACGCAAATATATACGCACGACCTTGCTCCGACAATCACGGCGCCCATGGCTGGGTCAGCAATAGCGTTTGGTAAGCCATGCATGGATATCACGAGTAGCGGCAGAAACCAAACGTTTTGCCCTTAAACAAACACGCTGTTTAGGTTTCTTTTGTTGTACAAAAGTGACCCTGGGGTTACGCAAATCAATTCATACATTACTTTCACTTGAAGGTAAACAGAATAGACCTCGCTCTTATACTCAGATTACATAGGTAAATTCTGCCTAAATATATACTAATACCTGAGTTGTCTTAGTCGTATTAATAGAAAAAAACACTCGTTTACATTCGCTCTATTGATTAACTTGGTACACGCGATGCAAACACACTTTTGCTAGGCAATTCAGTTCCGGATATTTTTTTTGTAATCTTAATTTCAGTGGCTGGCTCGCTGGCTGAAAGTCAGAACAATAAACTCTGAAATAATACTCGAATTATTATTTTTTTTTAATTATGAAATTTAGTTGAAATTAAATTAACTTTGACCAATTTTCAATTAAAGCGCGGTGGTCGTCGCGCAGCGCGTGTTTGAATTTCATGTAAATAAACAATGTATTTTACACGCGTTGTATACGTCGCTATGAGTCCCATATCAAAAAGGACGCGGCACGACGATTACCGCCCTTTAAATATAATCTCTACAAAACTAGAAATGTAATTTGAATTCAATCTATGTAATGTGTTCAGTCATATGGTGTATTTATTTTGGTGTTGTATTTATGGTACAGTGTAATTCATTAAATTCGGTTCGATTCATTGCCAAAATAAACAAGATTGTGTCCGCTAACCGACTGCATATAACGTGACCATTAGGGAGAACGATGCTACCATATAACAGCCCCATCATTTTTTCCTATCCCAGATAAACAAATAAAAATAAATTCACAACTCACTCAATTAATCAATCAATCAATTAGTTAATTCAATAATGTTTTCTGTGGTAATTTGTTCACATGTAAATGTGAGAGAAAAGTTTACAACAATCATTTTTTGGCTGACCCCATTTTTATATTTGAGTGTGTTTTATGGCACCCGGACAAGTATGAAATACTAGTATTCATAGAACATCATCCCCTCTTTTTATTGAAATTTATTTTGTTATTTTTTATTAAACTTCTCTTGACATGCAGATTAGTATGTAATCTGTCTGTTTGTACTTATTATGTCATATATGATTTGGAGTTTCTCAAGTTCCAGAAACTCCGCTCCTGTGAATAGCGCCCTCTAGCAAGTGATTGCTGAAATGTAAATCTGTTTACAACGTCGATGTTTTGATCATTGGTCGGCCTTCAATAAAACAAAATTTGATAAGTTTGCTATATTCCAAATACTGAATGACCACACAACCTACTGTAGGTGTTACTTTGAACGATAATTATTTACACCCTTTTACGTATACACTTACCTGTAAATAAATATTTGTAAATAAGGAATTTGACATGAAAAGATTCTACTTTTGTTCTTTTTTTGTTCTATTTTGCAGAAGCGTCGTTTCTCGTACCGTATTATTTAAATCTGGATCTTCTTCCGACCCGACATCGAGGCTTCACATGTGACGACGCCAGCATCCAACACCCCAAGTACAACCAAACTGTTCCCGAATTATACGTATTAATTGGAACTTTTGCAATCATTATTTTTGTAAGTTTTTCGAATATACTTGTTGTACCTGATATCATCTCCATGGTAGTGGACCAGTTAATGTTACCGAATAGTGTTATTGTGGGATATCTTAAACTAGGATTGAGTGGTCCCGCGACATCTGACGAGTGGCTTAATGTTACATGTATTTTAAAAATACGATCAATTGCCAACATCTCTTGTCAGTCCTATACATTTGTGGTGATGGACGTGCGTCCTTTCTTTCCAACCATAGAGCTCTTTTTATGGTTCGACAACGCTACTCCGCTACACCCTTCTCAGCACGTGCATAGTTAAAGACGTCATGACAGTTTTACAACTCTATTGTACTGTGCAGAATAATACAATCAGCATTTCATCTTCTATAATATTACAAAATAAATGAAGATTCCATTTCTATATCAGTTTGTCATAGGTGAACTGCTATATTATTTTCTACATAAAAAGAAGCACGCCCTCTCACGTCTGCGATGCGGCTCGTGGTCATTCCAAATTCATCCGATTGTATCCAACATATACCAGATGATAGGCCTCTACGTATTTGGGGCAGGCATGAGCTTTATATTCGTACTACTTACCAAGAAGATGGTGGGAAAACTTCGACCGAATTTCATGGCACTCTGCCAGCCGGATTTTTCAAAGATAAATTGTACAGACGGACTGATCCTCGATTTCACGTGTCTCGGAGATTCAGCTGAAGCTGAAGATGCAAGGTAGGTAGAAGACAATGTGTTTCCACATGCTTCCTGTTTTTGCGTAAGCCGAACAGCATGAAATGATCAGCAATTATGCTTACAGAAATAATTATGCGTTTAGATTTGTAATTGTTAAAAATATCAAGTCACAAACAAGGGAATCAATTTTCTTAGTGATACTTCGTGGGATAAATCAATAATTTTATTTTTTTCGCCAAAAATGGGCCCTAAATTTATGTCCTGTATTTGCGCTTATTGCGCCAGTGGTATGTTAAGTGTCTATTTCTATTTGCACATCAAAGTTCAAATTTGTCATATGTTTGTGGGTAAATTCTCCCTGATATTGTCTTCTCGAGAGTCATATTGAGTCATATTGACATGTCACCATGCGTACTGCAACTATTTGAATACACATAAGAGTTTTACGACGTTGTGTACCGGCATGTACAACGCCCCTGTCAACTTTTTTCATTTTTCACAAAATACTATTGCACAATTTTTACCATTTTTTTCAAAGCTATTGATCAATGTAGCCAATGTACATTTGGAGCAAAATTAGCATTCATCAAGATTTGTCGGGAAAAAATTAAGGCGCTCACTGTCATGGCTGTGTAGAATACTGGTCATATAATTCAGTTTTTCTCGTTTTCTCAGGCAATCGTTCCCATCGGGCCATGCGTCAACATCTTTCTACTGTCTAACGTTCATTGTGGTAAGTCAGTCACGATGTGTCGACCATACTAGAGTGTTGTATTCATGTAGTTTTAAAATGCAATTTGGAAAATCTAAATTATTTTTAAGACGTTAAATTTTGTTTAATGCACATGCGCTTCGAATAACCTGTACGTATAAGTAAATCCGGAATTGCATTTTTCTTATGATCCTGTGTATGTATCGTGTGGCTTTCTTGCTAGTGTTTGTTTGAACGAATACCGATCCAAGAGATTTGTTTCCACCATAACTTTTATGTTTTAATTAAACTGGTGGCAGTCATTTTTTGCGTTTTGTGGAAATCTCTTTGCGGTCTCACAATTCGTAGACCATCATTGGTCCACCAAACACATATTTTGTTTTCATATTATACATGACATTCATGATGTAGATTCAAGTACAACAACTTATTTTGTGTATAGCTGTGTTCCTAATCCATCATAATTATACTGTCACATGGTCTGTCTAGTGACGATCAGTTATTGGTTCTAGTAAGTGTAATTGATTTTAAATTAACACAAATTATTCACCACTATTATTATTACAACTAGATCACGTGTTTACATGTTATGAATGCAATAACATATGTCAAACGACGTACCCTATTATATTACACATATTTAGTAACTCAGGTTTCTTGTGTGTTTTTTTGTCTAGATATACATTGAAGCTCGACTAATCTGGAGGGGTTCCAGGTTACTGAAAACCTTGTTACAAATTGTCTGTCTCTTGGTGGCTACATTTATCTCACTGTCTAGGGTGTACGACTTCTACCACAGTCTGGGTGACGTCATTGGGGGCGCTGTACTCGGTGTCGGCATAGCAATACTGATGGTAAATTGTTCACAATAGTTAACGACATCTTAAATATTTTAAAATAAGTCCAGTCCTCAGTTTACTCATGGCAACCAGGTCTTGGGGTCTATATAACATGTTTTGATGGATTCTGGTCTCTAAGATCATGGACTTGTAAAATCATGCATGATGTCATGGTGTCACGCCTAGGTATTTTTCGTAATTTGCATAAATCCATAATGGCCACCATAACACCACTTTTGCGCGTTGTGTCGTCACGCCGACCTGCAGCGTCAATGCACTTTTGCGTATATTCATTATATTTATCTCAACGTAGCCCGGATGTAACTAATCTCGAATCCATCACTGTGAGTAGAAAACAATATTAACTTGCATATATTACTTTATAGGCATATCATGTCAGTTCATTGTTTGGGAAAAAGTCCACCGGCATCGAGTTTGAAGACAAGAAGCAAGATACTAGTGTTGAGATGTACAACTATGTTGTTAGTAACCGATCAACGGTACCTGCGTGGAACGAATACACAATGTGAACTTGAAACACGAACAGTCAGACGTCATGGCAGGTTCACGCGACTTGTTACGCGCCTCGGTGCCTACGTAGTCGATCTCCTCCAATTGACGAATGTAAAAAGTAAATACAGACATATATATATGGTTGTTGAACAACTAACACAGTTATGATGTGTGATCCAAGTTGTTTACCAGATAGACTTATACTTAATATTAATTGTATTCGATGTTTTCATCGTCAGATTTTATTGTCATATTTATAGTAAATGAAAATAATTTTAATAGAATGATTGTGACGGCTGTGGTAGTTCACGACTTAATCGCCAATATTATCTTTCTACATTGGTTACCTATTCCTAAACATAGAGGGCGGTAGTCTCCTGGTCGTCATAGGAACAGTGGTCTGCTTACCTTGTAGTTTTTTTCGACTGGATGTGTCAGTTTAGGCTATATTTTTTTCCATTAAAATTCCATTGAAATTGTTGTCGCTTATGTAATCATGTAACCGTACTTGTGGTATTCTTACTCTCATGGGGGGGGGGGTAATAATAGAAATTCAGAAACCTATTTGTAAGGGTTTGAAAAAAAACAGGGCAAGTAGCTTCAAATGGAAATATGTGGCGAAATTAAAACAGCGCCCTCATTGTACAACGAGGAATGATCAGATATAGATTTGAAAAGCTGGACTGTGGGTTAAACCAAGGTGAAATATTAACTCCACATACCTCCGCTGCCCGTGTCACCGGCTGATGACTAATTGCCGTATAATCAGACAACAACACGGTTAACGGACATTTATACAGCACTGTCGTATTGACACAACATTTGACAATTTTGATATATGTAGAACAAGCACAGTGACCGGTACAGTGCTCTGTTTGTAGGGTGTATCCATGGCTTGTGTGGACTGGTAATGTGCCCGGGAAATAAAAATACGGTGTTCCGATGGTGCAGTTGATGTGATTTCCATTTTGTCAGCCTGGTAACACCGTTGTGTTCTGAACAGGATGGCACGTGATATTAGAATCTATAACGTGGTCATCGACATCGTCATATTCGTGATAACAGGTAAGAAGAGATAAAAAAAAAACACGACTCGATGTGTTGTAACAATACATCAATTGGCTGTTTTAATAGTTTCAAATGTTTCAACACACTGACAGCCCAGCTGGCTCACTTGTCAGAAGTCGCCAGTTGAGACAGCATGGGGCTGAGGTCGATAACCACGTGACGATAGATTACAATCTGCAGCCATTTATTTTAAAAATAAACAGAAACTGTCAGTAATTTTGAATTGTCCGTGGTCCCCGTTGGCGACAATTCAATTCGGTGGTATGTGTTGCTACAGTGCTACACTGTTCAATTGATGGAACCATTGAAACCCATGTCAAAGGGATGGGGTTGAAAAGGCAAACAAAACTGATTAAAACCACTCGACTCGACCCGTTTTGTATGTGAGTGCACAGTATTATCCCTCGCCCACTGCTAGTAATTATTCCGACTCTCTGAACCACGACCTTTGTATTATGTATTACATGCTTGCCAGTATAAAGATCGTTTCATGGAATGCCTGGTATCGTACAGCGGTCTACATCCCCACCATTTTAGACTAGTTTATATGTATGACGTATATACACCTGAAACCAACCAACCCGCTTCGCACAGACGACGTAAATGGACGTAGATTGAAATGACGTCATATATTAGTGACGTCACGAGCCAAGGCATGGTTTTGGTATGGTGTCAACTTTTCCCTGTCTTCGCATCATTCATGCATTTGTAGATTCTGAAATGGGCTGGGTTTTTTTTACTTGATGTTAGTTACGCCATTCAATGAAGTATGATACAGTAGTGAACTCGCGACATGTTTATATTTGATTATATTTGTCCATGTCATCAACGAGTCGTAACGTGTCAAAGAATACGATACACCGCAATAAAAATATGTTTATATACAATAATGTTTAACTTGTGTATGGTTCAAAGGCTAAACTCCATTTGGATAAGATTCAAAGGCTGGACAGATAAATACACAGGGTGACCAAATAAGTTTTTCGGATGCTGTTTCACTCAATTTAAATAATGCCTGGGAAGACATGTAGTATTTTCGATCATCGAAAACATGTACATTTAAAAAAAACGATGACTTGACTTTCGCATGTTTATGAAAGTCTGTGTAGTCCAATAGACAGTACATTATTCAGATAAACGTTTTTAAAGGGCGGTGGTCGTCGCGCCGCGTTGTGTTCGATATGGGACTCATAGCGACGTATACAACGCGTGCAAAATACCACCGCCCTTTAAGTTTGCTTCATGCTTAAAATGTAATTCACTGTATATCCTACAATACCGGTATATTATATGTGACGGCAGTGGTCGTTACGTCACATATGCAGGAGATATGGGTCCAAATACATCAATAATGACTTAGATCGCTGATCAATGCATACATACATAAAAGTATCACTACTATGGTCTACTTAGGAAATTCCTAGTATGATTGGAACGAATCGAATTACTCTAAGCATAGTCCCTCTATCAGACGGGATAAAGGAACTGTGCTCTACGGAATCAAAGTTGGAAAAACAAAGTTTATCAACATAAATCTCGCACTTGAGTGGCGCGACAACCTGACCACCGTCCTTGCAAGTTAAATAGCATACACATTTGCGTAGTTAATAATTTCAGCGAGTCAAATACTATACTATTATTATGTCTCAGTCGCATATTTATAGAGATAAATTACAGCGTGTCGTAATTGTGTGGTATAACACGGGATATCTGCAGCCAAATCTGCAATCCCAAATACGAACGTTAACGCGGCATTTTTAAGATTTACGGACTTACGCGATCACATGGATTGACACGTACTAGCATGTCCAGATATAATCTGACCAGAATGAGATAGGTTGTGCTTTTTTATTTATTTTTTTCGTACATTTTATTTTATTTGAATGTATTTGTTGGCAGTTCTTTCAAATTGTTTGGTAATCACAAAATCCTAACTTAAAATAAAAATGAAAAAATCCAAACTAGAATTTTAGTCAGATTGTACTCCGATATTGCCTGCTATTTGACAGTTAATCATTATCAGTATATTCATAATTCTTGAGAAATTCGTAAAAACATTTAATATAATAGCACATAACTGGTGTATTAGAGACAACAGTCAAGACATTTTGTTGTGTAGCATTCTTACACTGTGTTTAACAAATGTGGACCAAATATTACGCTATTTTAAAGGGTTATTTCATTTGTAACATAAAACCAAGATTTTACAAACAATTCAAGACAACAAAACATACCCAGTCATGTTATCACGTACACATGACGGTATTTATACTAATTTTAGTAATTTGGTGATACCCACATTTTGTTTATATTGATCCGTCCTGGGTTCCGGGGG